GGGGAGGGAAGGAATTAAAACTGCCCCTTTAGGCCAAAGTTTTTTCCCCGATTATTTTGCCTTTTGGCCCTGGCATTTTTGAAATTTCCCGGCCCATTAAATTTGGGGTTTGTGGGGTTTTCCAAATTGGTTGGCCGGCGATATCCGTAGGGGCGGTTTGTTTGGGGAAGGTTTCCAAAGGGTACCAAGGCAATTCACTCAAACCGTTCAGGTGTGGGGGGTTATTCACCAAGTCCCGGGGAACCCCAGTAAATTTTTAATTTAATGGGGTTTGGGTTTTAAAAGGAGGGGTTTATTTTTTTTTAATTTTTTTTTTAGGGGTTTATTTTAATTTTTAAATTTAGTTATCTTTTTAATTTTTTTTTTTAGATAAAAAACTTTTAAAAAAAAAAATTTTAATGGTTTTTTTGCACTTTTACTAATTTTATACCTTAAAATTTTTAACCCTTTTTGTAAAATATAATTTTTAATAATTTTATCTTTTTAATTCTTTATCTTTAAAGCTTACAATTTTTTTCCCCAAATTTATTTAAAGGGAAATTTATTTCATTCCATAAATCTTTGTGTTTTTTTTTAGTTATCAATTTTTTTTTCCAATCCTTATTAATTTTCAGGTTATTCTTTTTAAACTATAATTTTGTACTAATTACTTCTAAATTTAAATTTTTTATTTTATCTTTAAGCTTTTTCTAATTTTAACTTTATTTATTAAAATCACCCACCCCCCTTTCTTCCCCTCAGTTATCAACTCTTTCACTCGCACACTAACACAAAACCCCACAAGACAAATGATTATATATATTTACAGTCACTTCTTTTTTCCTCACTGTTTTTCCCACATTGGGATATACCTTCCTCAAGTTTTTCCCCTAGTGGCACTAAATTTTTTTCCCCCGCTGCCCCGGGTGCACCCAGATAACGGAAAAAAAATAGACGTCCTCCGGATGGTCGAGCGGTACTATTCTCCGATTATCGCTTAACCGGTAATATTCTGGCTATCCCTTAGCCTGGCTATCGCTTAGCCTCTCAATACCTTTATTCCGATACCTTAATACTACTTAAGCCGTCTCGTGGAGCACGCTGACTACCTTAGTCACCGATACCCTCACGTAACACGCGTACACTATTGGTTCCGGATTTATGGCTTCCACAGACTATATATCAATCTGTCCCTTTACCAATCATCCGCTCAGAACAACACGTGTTAAGCTTAACTTATTTACAAAATAATTCAAACACAGAACAGTTTAACACAAACATTAATAACACTTAAAACATACATTCACATACATTCATACGTACCTGGAACCTTCCTCAGCTTAATCTGCCTTTATATACTCTTATATAAATTCTTATCAAATTTGGAAATTACTTTATTAAATTTGGAAAACTAGGTTCTTTTTAGGAGAGCTTTGTGACGCCTGACACCCACAAGCAGTCACCGGAGGCTGGTTCCCCACTAATTTAGAACATTATAACGAATTGACTCACCTTCAATGGTGAATTATGGGCCCTTGGGGTTCCACGCTCTCCAGCTGGTGCCTGCAGATTGTCCGACGTCCCCTTTTTGCTTTCCTCCTGCAGCTGGCTCGCCAATTTGTCGTCTATAATTCTCTTCTTGACGACTTAAAATTGAAGCTAAGTTTTATAAAAATTCAAAGTTCTTAAAAAGCAGAAAAAATCTCAAACAAAGATAAAAAAATTCAGACAGAGGCAGCTGAGTCCAGGTCCAGTGTGTTTATTGCTAAACACAACACATTCACACTGAGCTGGTCACCGGTGAGCCTGAGCTGAACAAATGGTGAAAACAGCTCCCTTTTATACATTTCTTATCGGTGGAAAACCCCCTTCAGAACATATTTCAGTCTTTGGTAAAGGTCACATTGATATTTATCTGCAAATCACGGTGACATTCATAGACACATCTCATTCTTGTGAGAGCAATCTCTCAGGCCATGAAAACATCTGGTGCATTCAAATCAGAAACTTATGACAGTTTAATCACAAACATGTTGGAATACATCCTTTCCTTACTTCAAGCCATGTCAGTCTGGCCTAGTGCTCCCCCCTCGTGTCTCAGTCAAAGCATCACCCTTTCTGGGACCATTACCGCTCCGTGTGCCTTGAAAATAACAACTCTATTTATCACAAGTTGTATGGCCAGATTTTGCTGAGCTGGGCAACCTTGAGATGTCAAATATTTCATTTTTAATGAGTGTGCTTTCTTATCACTATGGGGCCTCAACCTTGCGTTTTCCTGCAGATTCCACTCTTCTTGGGCCAGGTGCAATGGTTACACACCCTCAGTGCTCTGTTTTTCTCCTTTTTGGCCTTGAATGGCTCTTATAGCAGTATTTGTGAAAACAACTTTAAACTTATAAAACATTAACTTTATTTTATCTTATGATTAGTGCAGATTAATACACAACATCCTAAACCAGGGGGACCCTTTGACCCCCACGGGAAGCATGGGATGATTGTTTTAGGTCTTTGTGAGGTGCTGTCAATGGAGGGACAAGATAGATGTCATATAAATACACAAATGTCACTGTCCCAGGAAACAAATAAATAGATATACCTGAAACAATCCAAATATTAAATATACAGTTAAACTAAAAACTGCACAGGTAATTAGATGTCCAGATAGAAAAGTGTATTTAAAACTGTGAATTAAATGTAATAAAAACGTTCAGAAATACATTTGCTTAAATATAAATATAATTATCTCACTGGGGGGTCCAGTCGTTAGAGACATTGTCCTCAGCTGTCCAGTAGAGAACTAACGGATGGTTTTTACAGGTTCTTTATTTCAGCGTTAAAGCTAATGCCCCAAACATCTGTCTGAAGATTCAGGGTTAAAGGTCGCTGGTTATTCATGTGATGACAGAAGAAAACAGGAAGTGATCGGTTTAATGAACAGGAAGTGAAAAACATCAGCGTTTCCTGGACCTCAGCCTAAACCGTTCCACACGTTCACATCATCCATGTGTCACGTTCCTACCGGGAGAGCTCCCCACCCAAACAGGTCCTCTGTGGGCCCGTTCTCTAGGCCCGGCCCTGAACCTTCAGCTCCTTTTGGATGCTAGCCACACCCTGAAAGTTTGTTTTTCTACTCACTGAATATAGTCGTTTATTAAGGACTATAAACAGACCTTTGTCAAGATCAGGATCTGGTCATAAAAATATCAGACCCTACATGATGGTCGGCCGTTTGACTCAAACAGCTTTTAGATCAGTCAAAGACAGTTGTGAGATTATAACTGTGACATCTTCATGATCCTGAGATTACAAACAATCTACTGATCTTAAATATGTTATATGTCTATAACATAAATATGTTATAGACGGTATAAAACCTAACTATAGAATCTGAACCGGATTTAGACTGCTTCTAGTTGAACTTTCAGAGTTAGCTAAACTGTTGGTATTCCCTTTGATCTCCTCCTCCATTCTAGATGTGATTAATCTATCTCTGTTACAGGGATATGTACCAAAGGCTTTTAAGGTTGCTGGAATTAAACCTCTGCTTAAGAAACCGTCTCTTGACCCAGATTACTTGGTCAATTATAGACCTATATCCAATCTTCCTTTCTGATCTAAAATTCTTGAGAAAGTAGTTGCCAAACAAGTTTGCGATCACTTCCACCATAATGAACTTTTTGAAGAGTTTCAGTCTGGCTTTAGAGCTCATCATAGCACTGAAACAGCTCTGGTGAAAGTCACTAATGATATTCTCATGGCCTCAGATAATGGACTTGTATCTGTGCTCGTCCTGTTGGATCTCAGTGCTGCATTTGATACAGTTGACCATAATATTCTTTTAGAAAGACTTGAATATTTTGTTGGAATTAAAGGAACAGCACTAGACTGGTTTAAATCTGATCTATCTGATCGAATTCAGTTTGTTCATGTTAATGACAGATCTTCCTCATGCTCAAAGGTTACCTGTGGAGTACCACAGGTATCAGTGCTAGGACCAATTCTCTTTACTTTATACATGCTCCCAATTGGTAGAATTATTAGACAGCATGGGATTAATTTCTACTGTTATGCTGATGATACCCAGCTATACAGTTGTAGCCATTCAAAATTACCTCACTTTCCTTGGCTGGTCCCCTACAATTCCCTTTTAACACATCAACATGTACTAAAATATTTTTTCTGTCATGATTTGTGGACATTAAGATCTAAACAGAAGCGTCACCTCGTGGTCAGACCCTGTGATTCAGTGAAAGGGTGGAGTGAGAGGAAAAAAATATGCATGCTCAGGAGAAGGAGGAGGTCACTCCATTAGCTGGAAGTTGGAGGTGAATTTGCTGGGAGTTGCAGGGAAGTGGGCTGCCATTACAGACATGTCTGAAGACATAAAAACCTGGATGACTCTTAACTTTCTCCTTCTGAATGCAGACAAAACAGAAGTTATAGTCTTTGGACCAGGGTCTCTGAAAAAGAAGCTGATTAGTCAGTCACTTCATTTGGATGGGATTAAACTGATTTCAGATAATAAAGTAAAAAATCTTGGTGTTATTTTTGATCAGGACCTGTCATTTAAATCCCAGATCAAAGAGGTTTCTAGAATTTCCTTCTTTCATCTGAGGAATATTGCAAAAATGAGAAATCTCCTGTCCAGGGGTGATGCTGAGAAACTAGTCCATGCATTTGTTACTTTAAGGCTGGACTATTGTAATTCTTTACTATCAGCAAAAGAAGGAACCTCCAACATTAGAGGAAAAGACTGGAATCATTAAAGACCTGATCTCTCTCTGGTCACATGATCTAAATTTCTAACAGTTATCACAGATAATCAGGCCACAAATGGTCATATTTCAGTCATCAGGTGAGTCCTCTGTGTCTCTAAAAAAAAAATCATGTTTGATATCAGATGAGGTAACTTCTATGTGTATCATATTGCTGTTTGAAAAATGCTTCCAGGCCTAAAACCAGAAAGATGGAAGGATTCCAGGTGTCTGGCTGACTGCTTCTGTTTCTTTTTGCTCCAGCAAACACGGCGGATGTCTACATCGTGGAGCGGCTGTTCTCCAGCAGTCTGGTGGTGGTGGTGAGTGCCGCCTTGCCGCAGCGGATGAACATCTATCACTTTAAGAAAGGGACGGAGATCTGTAACTACAGCTACCCCAGCAACATCCTGGCCATCAAGCTCAACAGACAGGTGACTCACCATCAAGAACATCCTGCTTAATCCCAAACTAAAATAATGTGTGAAAAGGGCTTCAGGTTCTATGATAGAGTTGTTGGATCTGAAGACCCTGCCATGGTCGGCCTTTTTCATGGGACTTTATGGACCGTTCCAGTAGAACCCCTGATCAGTGTGGGGAAACAGAGGAACTCAACAATAACCTGGAATGTATCCTGGTTCTCCCTTTTCTCCCTGGTTTTCCATGTTCTTCCTGGTTCTCCCTGATCTTCCTGGTTCTCCTTGCTTCTTCATGGTTCTCCCTGCTTCTTCCTGATTCTCCCTGTTCTTCCTGGTTTTCCATGTTCTTCCTGGTTTTCCATGTTCTTCCTGGTTCTCCCTGCTTCTTCCTGGTTTTCCATGTTCTTCCTGGTTCTCCCCGTTCTTCCTGGTTCTCCCTGTTCTTCCTGGTTTTCCATGTTCTTCCTGGTTTTCCATGTTCTTCCTTGTTTTCCACGTTCTTCCTGGTTCTCCCTGTTCTTCCTGGTTCTCCCTGCTTCTTCCTGGTTTTCCATGTTCTTCCTGGTTCTCCCTGTTCTTCCTGGTTCTCCCTGCTTCTTCCTGGTTCTTCCTGTTCTTCCTGGTTCTCCCTGTTCTTCCTGGTTTTCCATGTTCTTCCTGGTTCTCCCTGCTTCTTCCTGGTTCTTCCTGTTCTTCCTGGTTCTCCCTGCTTCTTCCTGGTTCTCCCTGATCTTCCTGGTTCTCCTTGCTTCTTCATGGTTCTCCCTGCTTCTTCATGGTTTTCCATGTTCTTCCTGGTTCTCCCTGTTCTTCCTGGTTTTCCATGTTCTTCCTGGTTTTCCACGTTCTTCCTGGTTTTCCATGTTCTTCCTTGTTCTCCCTGCTTCTTCCTGGTTCTCCCTGCTCTTCCTGGTTTTCCATGTTCTTCCTGGTTTTCCATGTTCTTCCTTGTTCTCCCTGCTTCTTCCTGGTTCTCCCTGCTCTTCCTGGTTTTCCACGTTCTTCCTGGTTCTCCACGTTCTTCCTGGTTTTCCATGTTCTTCCTTGTTCTCCCTGCTTCTTCCTGGTTCTCCCTGCTCTTCCTGGTTTTCCACGTTCTTCCTGGTTCTCCCTGTTCTTCCTGGTTCTCCCTGCTTCTTCCTGGTTTTCCATGTTCTTCCTGGTTCTCCCTGTTCTTCCTGGTTCTCCCCGCTTCTTCCTGGTTCTTCCTGTTCTTCCTGGTTCTTCCTGTTCTTCCTGGTTCTCCCTGTTCTTCCTGGTTTTCCATGTTCTTCCCGGTTTTCCATGTTCTTTCTGGTTCTCCCTGTTCTTCCTGGTTTTCCATGTTCTTCCATGTTCTTCCTGGTTCTCCCTGTTCTTCCTGGTTTTCCATGTTCTTCCCGGTTCTCCCTGTTCTTCCTGGTTTTCCATGTTCTTCCTGGATTTCCCTGTTCTTCCTGGTTCTCCCTGTTCTTCCTGGTTTTCCATGTTCTTCCCGGTTCTCCCTGTTCTTCCTGGTTTTCCATGTTCTTCCTTGTTCTTCCTGGTTCTCCCTGTTCTTCCTGCTTCTCGCTGGTTCTCCATGTTCTTCCTGGTTCTCCCTGTTCTTCCTGCTTCTAGTTGGTTCTCCCTGTTCTTCATGTTTCTCCCTGATCTTCCTGGTTCTCCCTGCTTCTTCATGGTTCTCCCTGCTTCTTCCTGGTTTTCCATGTTCTTCATGGTTCTCCTTGCTTCTTGCTTGTTCTCCCCGCTTCTCGCTGGTTCTCCATGTTCTTCCTGGTTCTCCCTGGTTTTCCCTGCTCTTCCTGCTTCTCCCCGTTCTTCCTGCTTCTAGTTGGTTCTCCCTGTTCTTCCTGGTTCTCCCTGCTTCTTCCTGGTTTTCCATGTTCTTCCTGGTTCTCCCTGTTCTTCCTGGTTCTCCCTGCTTCTTCCTGGTTCTTCCTGGTTCTCCCTGTTCTTCCTGGTTTTCCATGTTCTTCCTGGTTCTCCCTGCTTCTTCCTGGTTCTTCCTGTTCTTCCTGGTTCTCCCTGCTTCTTCCTGGTTCTCCCTGATCTTCCTGGTTCTCCTTGCTTCTTCATGGTTCTCCCTGCTTCTTCATGGTTTTCCATGTTCTTCCTGGTTCTCCCTGTTCTTCCTGGTTTTCCATGTTCTTCCTGGTTTTCCACGTTCTTCCTGGTTTTCCATGTTCTTCCTTGTTCTCCCTGCTTCTTCCTGGTTCTCCCTGCTCTTCCTGGTTTTCCATGTTCTTCCTGGTTTTCCATGTTCTTCCTTGTTCTCCCTGCTTCTTCCTGGTTCTCCCTGCTCTTCCTGGTTTTCCACGTTCTTCCTGGTTCTCCACGTTCTTCCTGGTTTTCCATGTTCTTCCTGGTTCTCCCTGTTCTTCCTGCTTCTAGTTGGTTCTCCCTGTTCTTCATGTTTCTCCCTGATCTTCCTGGTTCTCCCTGCTTCTTCATGGTTCTCCCTGCTTCTTCCTGGTTTTCCATGTTCTTCATGGTTCTCCTTACTTCTTGCTTGTTCTCCCCGCTTCTCGCTGGTTCTCCATGTTCTTCCTGGTTCTCCCTGGTTTTCCCTGCTCTTCCTGGTTCTCCCCGTTCTTCCTGCTTCTAGTTGGTTCTCCCTGTTCTTCATGGTTCTCCCTGATCTTCCTAGTTCTCCCTAATCTTCCTGGTTCTCCCTGGTTCTCCCTGGTTCTTGTTCGTTCTCCCTGGTCTTCCTATTTCCTGGTTTTCCATGTTCTTCCTGGTTTTCCATGTTCTTTCTGGTTCTCCCTGTTCTTCATGGTTCTCCCTTATTGTTCCTGGCTGTCCATGTTCTTCCTGGTTTTCCCTGTTCTTCCTGGTTCTCCCTGATCTTCCTGGTTCTCCCTGTTCTTCCTGGTTCTCCCTGTTCTTCCTGGCTCTCCCTGTTCTTCCGGGTTCTCCCTGTTCTTCCTGGTTTTCCATGTTCTTCCTGGTTTTCCATGTTCTTCCATGTTCTTCCTGGTTCTCCCTGTTCTTCCTGCTTCTCTCTGGTTCTCCATGTTCTTCCTGGTTCTCCCTGTTCTTCCTGCTTCTAGTTGGTTCTTCCTGTTCTTCATGGTTCTCCCTGATCTTCCTGGTTCTCCCTGCTTCTTCATGGTTCTCCCTGCTTCTTCATGGTTCTCCCTGCTTCTTCCTGGTTTTCCATGTTCTTCATGGTTCTCCTTGCTTCTTGCTTGTTCTCCCCGCTTCTCGCTGGTTCTCCCTGTTCTTCGTGGTTTTCCATGTTCTTCCATGTTCTTCCTGGTTCTCCCTGTTCTTCCTGCTTCTCGCTGGTTCTCCATGTTCTTCCTGGTTTTCCATGTTCTTCCCGGCTCTCCCTGTTCTTCCTGGTTTTCCATGTTCTTCCTGGATTTCCATGTTCTTCCTGGTTCTCCCTGTTCTTCCTGGTTTTCCATGTTCTTCCATGTTCTTCCATGTTCTTCCTGGTTCTCCCTGTTCTTCCTGCTTCTCGCTGGTTCTCCATGTTCTTCCTGGTTCTCCCTGTTCTTCCTGCTTCTAGTTGGTTCTCCCTGTTCTTCATGTTTCTCCCTGATCTTCCTGGTTCTCCCTGCTTCTTCATGGTTCTCCCTGCTTCTTCCTGGTTTTCCAATTTCTTCATGGTTCTCCTTGCTTCTTGCTTGTTCTCCCCGCTTCTCGCTGGTTCTCCATGTTCTTCCTGGTTCTCCCTGGTTTTCCCTGCTCTTCCTGGTTCTCCCCGTTCTTCCTGCTTCTAGTTGGTTCTCCCTGTTCTTCATGGTTCTCCCTGATCTTCCTAGTTCTCCCTAATCTTCCTGGTTCTCCCTGGCTCTCCCTGGTTCTTGTTCGTTCTCCCTGGTCTTCCTATTTCCTGGTTTTCCATGTTCTTCCTGGTTTTCCATGTTCTTTCTGGTTCTCCCTGTTCTTCATGGTTCTCCCTTATTGTTCCTGGCTGTCCATGTTCTTCCTGGTTTTCCCTGTTCTTCCTGGTTCTCCCTGATCTTCCTGGTTCTCCCTGTTCTTCCTGGTTCTCCCTGTTCTTCCTGGCTCTCCCTGTTCTTCCGGGTTCTCCCTGTTCTTCCTGGTTTTCCATGTTCTTCCTGGTTTTCCATGTTCTTCCTGGTTTTCCATGTTCTTCCTGGTTCTCCCTGCTTCTTCTTGGTTCTCCCTGTTCTTCCTGGTTTTCCCTGTTCTTCCTGGTTCTCTCTGTTCTTCCTGGTTTTCCATGTTCTTCCTGGTTCTCCCGGCTTCTCGCTGTTTCTCTCTGGTTGTCTCTGTTTTTCCTGGTTCTGTCTTCCAGGATGCTGTCTCCTGCTGACCCCTAGTGGGTGGCCCTTTAAATGATTTATTAGTTTTTTAGCTGATTTGGATTTTTAACAAATGTCTAATATTCTGAGTTAACATTTTCTTAATTATAATGTTAATAAATTAGTTTTCGGTGTTTAAAGGAGCAGCAGGTTTAGAACCAGAACGGTCCACTTTGCTGTTGTCCCTGTTGGGTCTTCACCAGTTTCTGTTTTTTTCCAGCTGTCCTCAGCGGTTTGTGAGAAACAGTAGAGAAGGGGGGGCAATCATGAAGACCCTGGAACCCAGCATACAGGTCTGAGAAAGATCTGAAGAACCTTGTTCTACTGATAGAGAAATGAGAAAACATCAGGGATTTTGTTAGCAGTTTATCTGAAGGACTTGGGGCACTGAAGAAGAAGGTCCTCTGCATACATGACAGGAGGGGACATGCTTTATCCCACAGAGAGAAGGAAAGTTAGCCCACATTAGGACTTTAATCCAGCATAATCCTGGAGGAGGTTTCAGAAGAATTAAAGGTGGAGGTTCCCCTTTCAGCAGAACCACAGCTGAACGGCCCATTAGTCCAGACCTTCATCCAGCATCCTCAGAGACGCCAAACAGTCTGCACATGTTCAAGCTGGTGAAGACCTGCCCCACTGTCGTGGTCATGGCAGCTTTCCCAGCGGAGCAGATTCTGTTTAGGTTCTTCCTGTTCTTAAAAGTCCAAACCGTCAACCAGCCGGATGTCAGAACCCAGCTTCTGTCTGCAGATCTGATGTCATTTCTCTCAGACAGCTGGCCTCCTCCTGCCTGGAAAACACCTGGAAACCTCCTGATGCCTGTATTGTCCATTATTGTCCCTGTTTGGGTCCGGGAGGACAGAGTTCATGTCCTTAGTGGGAAGCTGAAGCCTGATTTTTTTCACTCTGCAGGCAGACTGTGGACAGAAACAGGATCTCTGAGACCCAGAGACTCCCTGCTGGTTTTCCTGGAAACCTCCTGACTGGCAGCAGCAGCAGCTTTCCAGGAACCAGCTGTGATTCTGAGGCACCTTCACCGTTGATGCTGAATGCTGCTGTGTCCCACAGAGGCTGGTGGTGTTCCTGGAGGAGTCCATTTATGTCCACAACATTAAAGACATGAAACTTCTCAAGACTCTGCTCAACACTCCTTCCAACCCCTCAGGTACGACCACAGCATCAGCTGTACGAGCTTTTCTTTGATCCCATCTGTTTTTAGGCTTCATTCCTGCCTTTTTTATTATGTATGAGTTGATTTATTGGAGCTTTCTGACTTCCTGCAGGTCTTTGCGCTCTTTCCACCAATCAGTCCAGCTCCTACCTGGCCTATCCAGGCAGCGTCTCCTCTGGGGACATCATTGTACACGACACCAACACTTTGGTAAGAAGACTTCCCACCCTAAACCTTCTGTTAAGCCATGAGATTAAAGATAAATTAGGTTTGTTTCCAAATATAGTTTAGGGACCAATCTCTAATCTCCAGTTTTTGAACTCTATTGTTTCTGGTCTTCGTAGGGTCAGAGGTAATTAATTATCTGATGTAAACTGGATAAAATGATCAGGGTTTGGACATTTTAGACTTTAGCTCATGTATTAGCATGTAGCGCTTTTAGCATTACCAAAATATCAGACTCTGTTTATTTATATCAGAACATGTAGATCCTGAAACCTCTTCAGAGAAACAGTTTTCCACGATAGATCAATCTGAGCGCTCCAGATGATTTATGTTTAGTCTTCCTGTTATCTGCCCAAACTTCTGCTCTCACAGCCTGAATGAACCACAGGCATCCCGGTTTCCTTTCTGTTAGCTTTTTGTCTCTACATTGCAGTTACACTAAGAAAGCTCAGGGTTGGAGGTTAGGGTTGAACCCCAGGATGAGTGTATTAAAAAAGAAAACCTTTGAATTGTCTTTAAAGTTGATCTATATGGAGACAGTTCAAAGGTTTTCTTTTTTAATACACTGAACCCAGAGTTCAGTCTGGACTCCACAGGAACACAGTTTTCCTTCACCGACCCATAGAACCATAAGATGCCGTGCTCCAGTTACTGTTAGATAACACATGATAGCAGGAAACCAAAACACCACATAAAAGAACAACACGCTGAGTCAGAAGTCCTCAGGGTTCAGCCTGATGTTACATCAGCTGACCTCCCAGGCTGTAACGCCTCCTTTTGTCATGGAGCAGCATGGGTCCAGCTGCATGCTCCTCATGTTCCTCTGAAGGTTGTTTTGACTAATTTTATAGCCTGTGTTCCTAACTTATCTATTTAATGAAGTGGTTTCATTAGATAAGAGGTTATAGTCAGGATCCTAGGGACCTTAAACATGTATCAGACCAGCTCCCATGAAGCCACCTGAGACAGTCCATGTCTTTAAACTCAGATTTAATAAAAGCCTTCAGAACCAGCAAGTTTCCAGAAACAATCCTTCTGAAATAATTTTTAGGAGAGAAAACTTAAACCGAGCTCATTCTCCTCCCTTTTCAAGCCCCTGCCTTTTTCTGACTTGTGTATTTGACGTTCCTGTGGATGTAGCAACATTAGCATTTAGCAATGGTTAGTTTAGCATACTTCCCAGTCTCTTAGACGGTAATTATACAAGCAGCAATGCTTACTTAATATTAGCACAGTGATTGTAAGGCAGGCTAATGTTAGCATAGTGATAGTAAGACAGGCTATTGTTAGCATGGTGTTAGCAAGGTAGGCTAATGTTAGCATGGTGATAGAAAGACAGGCTATTGTTAGCATGGTGATAGCAAGGTAGGCTAATGTAAGTATGGTTATAGTAAAACAGGCTAATGTAGCATGGTGATAGCAAGGTAGGCTAATGTTAGCATGGTGATAGCAAGGCAGGCTAATGTTAGCATGGTGATACAAGGCAGGCTAATGTTAGCATGGTGATAGTAAAACAGGCTCTTGTTAGCATGGTGATAGAGGCCTGTGCGGGACAGATTTTCCAGTCCCGCCTGCTTCCGCAGTGTTCAGTCACGCTCCCGCAAAGAATTATGTTTTTCAGTCGCTCTCCCCCCCGCACCTGTAATACTTTGTCCCGCCTGTAATTCCCGCATGATTCTGATGTTGGCCTACTGCTCAAGGTAATTCGTGTCATTAGTTTCAGGAATTAAACACGCTGTGCTTAGCTGAGCACATTACTGGCCAATTATACATACAGGTGCTGGTCATAAAATTAGAATATCATGAAAAAGTAGATTGATTTCAGTAATTCCATTTAAAAAGTGAAACTTGTATATTATATTCATACATTACATACAAACTCATATATTTCAGATGTTTATTTTGTTTAATTTTGATGATTACAAATGACAACAAATGAAAATCTCAAATTCATCATATCAGAAAATTAGAATATTGTGAAAAGGTTCAAAATTGATGGCCCCTGGTGCCACACTCTAATCAGCTAATTAACTCAAACCACCTGCAAAAGCCTTTAAATGGTCTTTCAACCCTGGAGAGAATTGTGAAACAAAACCCCTTCAAAAATGTGGGGGAGATTCACAAAGAGTGGACTGCAGCTGGAGTGAGTGCTTCAAGAACCACCACACACAGACGTATGAAAGACATGGGTTTCTGCTGTCGCATTCCTTGTGTCAAGCCACTCTTGAACCACAGACAGCGTCAGAAGCGTCTTGCCTGGGCTAAAGAGAAACAGGACTGGACTGCTGGTGAGTGGTCCAAAGTCATGTTCTCTGATGAAAGTAAATTTTGCATTTCCTTTGGAAATCAAGGTCCCAGAGTCTGGAGGAAAAGAAGAGAGGCACTTCATCCACGTTGCTTGAAGTCCAGTGTAAAGTTTCAACAGTCAGTGATGGTTTGGGGTGCCATGTCATCTGCTGGTGTTGGTCCATTGTGTTTTCTGAGGTCCAGGGTCAACGCAGCCACATACCAGGAAGTTTTAGAGCACTTCATGCTTCCTGCAGCTGACCAACTTTTTGGAGATGCAGATTTCATTTTCCAACAGGACTTGGCACCTGCACACAGTGCCAAAGCTACCAGTACCTGGTTGAAGGACCATGGTATCCCTGTTCTTAATTGGCCAGCAAACTCTCCTGACCTTAACCCCATAGAAAATCTATGGGGTATTGTGAAGAAGAAGATGCAATACACCAGACCCAACAATTCAGAAGAGCTAAAAGCCACTATTAGAGCAACCTGGGCTATCATAACACCTGAGCAGTGCCACAGACTGATCGACTCCATGCCACGCCGCATTGCTGCAGTAATACAGGCCAAAGGAGGCCCAACTAAATACTGAGTGCTGTACATGCTCATACTTTTCATGTTCATACTTTTCAGTTGGCCAACATTTCTATAAATCCTTTGTTTTTATTGGTCTTCAGTAATATTCTAATTTTCTGATATGATGAATTTGAGATTTTCATTTGTTGTCATTTGTAATCATCAAAATTAAACAAAATAAACATCTGAAATATATGAGTTTGTATGTAATGTATGAATATAATATACAAGTTTCACTTTTTAAATGGAATTACTGAAATCAATCTACTTTTTCATGATATTCTAATTTTATGACCAGCACCTGTAATCTTATATGCCAATTACCATCACGTTCAAGGATTAAATAAAAATATAATAAGTTATAATTAATAATTTTAAACACTGTATCATGGAGCCCCACCCAGCACATTGTGATGTATATATATGATAGACATAGATTGATAATTTATTACTTTATTTTACGTAATTGATGGACCACGGATGGCAAACCGTGGTACTCGCTGTATGTTAACGTGCTTCAGCGTACTTCAGCGTGCTCATAACTTATACAAACATACCCATAACTTATACAACGTATGCCAGCGTTTTTGCCAGATTTTTCGTACGTCAGGCAAACGCTGGTCTAAATCTTCTAAGTGTGACAGGAGCTTTATCAGAAGAAAGGAAAATACCTGGAACATCTGCAGAAGTTTTCTAGAGAGGAATGGGAAGAGATCTCCATTTGCTCCAAGACCATCCAATGTTAGATCAGGGTTCCCAAACTCAACCCAGGAGGGAATTCCTGAACCAAAGAGCTAAACTACCTTCAGGATTAAATCCGCTGTTAGATTATCTGCTCTTTTCACATAAAGAAGAAAAACTACAGCAGATATTTCTGAACCTGGAACTGATTATTTATTTTAGTTATTCATTGAAAGGCTTATGTTCAATGTAAGATTCTGCTGCTGCAGTAAACCTGCTTTTAAAGTCGTTCCCCACCAGTTCATCTGGGAGTAATTAGACGAAGATGCACAGGGTGCTGCCTCCTCTCGTTAACACGGCTGGTGTCGTTTCAGAGCACAGTGGCGATGATCCCGGCTCATGACAGTCCTCTGGCAGCGCTGGCCTTCGACGCCTCAGCCACCAAACTGGCCAGCGCCTCGGAGAGGGTGAGACGAACTAACAAACACCACGTTCTCTGAAACCTTGGTATTTACTCTGAAAGGAGGAACTCTTCTACCTCCTTTCTGATCTAAAGTTCTTGAAGTGTATTTCCACCAGAATTAGCTTTGTGAAGAGTTTCTCTGAGGGTTTAGAACTCATCATAGAAACGTATCTTTATAGAAAGGCTGTAGGAGTTAAAGGAACAGCTCTAGACTGGTTTAAATCTGATCTGACAGATTTCATTTTGTTCAAGTTAGTGATAAATCTTCCTCATCCAGGGTTACCTGTGGAGTACCACAGGAATCAGTGCTAGGACCAGTTCTCTGTACGATACAGTGCCTTGCAAAAGTATTTGACCCCTTTAAAGTTTTTGACTCCAGCTGTTTGCAGGAACAAAGGGAGAACATTTCAGCCTCTCAATGTGGAAAACTGATAGAGACAAACACCAGCAGGCCTTCAGTTTAATTCTATAGCTCCAATTCACATCATGTCATCTCAGGTCACTTTCCAGTTCACCAGATCATCCAGTCAAATTGATTCAAAGTTTTCTATCTAAGGAAAACCAGCTGATTGCATCGACTCATTGACTCTTCAGCAATCCCTCACTCTAAGCATGCTTGTAGCGACAGTGGAGAGGAAAAACTCCCTTTTAACAGGAAGAAACCTCCAGCAGAACCAGGCTCAGTGTGAGCGGCCATCTGCTGAGGCCCACTGGGGTTCAAGGAGACAGAAGCAGACATAGAAAAAGAGAAACAGGACTATACTGGAAAACAGGCCAAGCTCCAACATCTAGAAACAAAGGTGTTGATGGCGGCAGCACAGCTGATATTTCTCTCCAGGATGGAGTCACAGCCAAACAGGAACAGACCAGATGAAGCTACTATGAGAAAAAGCAGAGAGAGCAGAACGTTAGAGATTGAACTAACAGATTCTGCAGAGTGGGAGAATAGAGATAGAATGAAGCAGAATGATGAAAAAGGGGTCCCTATGTCCTCCAGCAGTCTAAGCCTATAGCAGCAGAACTATAGAGATAGATCAGGATAACCTGAGCCACTCTAACTAGAAGCTTTATCAAAAAGGAAAGTTTTAAGCCTAGCCTTAAAAGTAGACAGGGTGTCTGCCTCACGGACTAAAACTGGTAGTTGGTTCCACAGGAGAGGAGCCTGAGAACTAAAAGATCTGCCTCCCATTCTACTTTTAGAAATTCTAGGAACCACTAGTAAACCTGCAGATTGAGAGCGAAGTGCTCTGTTAGGAACATAAGGAACAATCAGATCTCTGATATCAGATGGAGCTTGGCCATTTAAGGCTTTATATGTGAGAAGGAGGATTTTAAGTTCTATTCTGGATTTAACAGGAAATAATACAATGAACTAATTAAATTACTAACAAAGGAAACAAAATCAAAGGAAAACATTTATCCAAGAGCTGTAATCCATAATGTGATCATTTATGGAGGTAAAGAACTGCTCTACATTCTCTGGTCTCCTGGTTATGAAATATAACAAAAGAGAAATTGATATGAGCAACCCTTTGATAGAAGCTGGAGAGGAGACAGAAACGCTGTTCTGTTCTGGATTGTGTGTCGTTACCCAACCTGCTGCAAGGTGAGGGTTTGAGGATTGAGTGCAGAGCAGGTTTCCCAGGATCACTGCACATCTCAGGTCTCACCCTAGGAGAGTCTTTGCCTTTTATTATGTGTCAAATGTTCGTGAAATGAGAAGCTGCTTGTTTGTCCATGAGGGGAGGACATGTCCCGACTGTCCCAGCTGTGTGGGCGCTCACTGGGCTGTTCTTACATTAGGATTAAATACTAAGTTGGTTTAATGTTTGGTGGTAACCTGAGCCTGCCTGCTCCACAGGTTACCCACCAATCGGAATCTACTTCCTGGATGCTCTATATGAATATAAAGACGTTTATTAGTACTTTAGATAGAGGAATGACTCTTTAGTGGATGTTTGCTCTGCACAGAAACCATGAACCCTAAATTTAATTCTCTGTAGAAATGTTTTAATTTCTGGATAAAATATGCTTTCTCTCATTTGTGACTGTTAACGAGTTTAAACTGTTAGAAAATGATTTTAATGGTTTTTAGAAACATCACAGTCTCTGTTTCTGCAGGGAACCGTGATCCGAGTCTTTTCCCTTCCTGAGGGCGAGCGGCTCTTTGAGTTCCGCAGAGGCATGAAGAGGTCAGTCTGTCATCCATCCATCCATCCATCCATCCATCCATCCATCATCCATCCATCATCCATCCATCCATCCATCCATCATCCATCCATCCATCCATCATCCATCATCCATCCATCATCCATCCATCCATCCATCCATCCATCCATCATCCATCATCCATCCATCATCCATCCATCCATCCATCCATCATCCATCATCCATCCATCCATCCATCCATCATCCATCCATCCATCATCCATCCATCCATCCATCCATCCATCCATCATCCATCCATCCATCCATCATCCATCATCCATCCATCCATCCATCCATCATCCATCCATCCATCATCCATCATCCATCCATCCATCCATCATCCATCCATCCATCCATCCATCATCCATCATCCATCCATCCATCATCCATCCATCCATCATCCATCCATCCATCCATCCATCCATCATCCATCCATCATTCATCCATCCATCCATCCATCCATCATTCATCCATCCATCCATCCATCCATCCATCATCCATCCATCCATCCATCCATCCATCCATCATCCATCCATCATTCATCCATCCATCCATCCATCCATCATCCATCCATCCATCCATCCATCCATCCATCATCCATCCATCCATCCATCCATCCATCCATCATTCATCCATCCATCCATCATCCATCCATCCATCCATCATCCATCCATCATTCATCCATCCATCCATCCATCCATCCATCATCCATCCATCCATCCATCCATCCATCCATCCATCCATCCATCCATCCATCCATCCATCCATCCATCCATCCATCCATCCATCCATCCATCATTCATGCTAATCAAAGCTGATGATTTATATTTCCTGGGTGGAACTATATTTTGTCGTCATGCTGACAGATGAATCATTTGTTACCCTTCATGTACAAGACTGTAAATATACCGCCCTCTCACTGCCTGATGTGTAGGAATGCTGACTCTGCAATGCTCCCACTTTAAAACAAGGTGGTAGCAGTATCATGCTGTGGGGAGGCTGTTCTCATGGAGGAGCTGCCCAGAGTGAAACAGAAAGAAAACGTTTTATAGTCAGCCAAAGACCCGACTTGCAGCGAGGTTTTTCCTCGCAGCAGACAGACAGACTGGTGAGGCTCAGTATCTATGACCCTTTCTAAGAGTTACAGACTAATTGTATGAGATAACATAGAAATATAATCATAGAACATAATAACTTTATGGTGTCCAAACACTTTATGGTGTCCAAACAACTTTATGGTGTTTAAACATTTTAAATCTTTATTGTTTTTTTATCTCTTTGAACTCATAAAACAAAGTTTGTCTTTGTGGCCGGATGCTTCGCTCAGACTTTATGACCCCTGATTCCTACTCATTTACGGTCAGATGACCCATGAGGAGCCCAGAGTCATAATCCCGCTGCGCCAGTAAACCCATAAAACAGCTTAATCAGTTACTTTCTAATGGATTATTCTTCGAGTTAACCTGCATGTTGTTTATGGCTGTGTGTGTTTCTTCAGGTACGTCAGCATCAGCTCCTTATCCTTCAGCCCTGATGGCCAATTCCTCTGTGCTTCCAGCAACACAGAGACGGTCCACATCTTTAAACTGGAACCACTGGGACCCAGGTAAGCCCAGATCAGCTTAAACTCACTTCACATTAATCCTGTTTATTCCAGTTCCAATGGATCATTTTCTATACAATCCTGCCCTGATTATGACTGACCTGCTCTATGGGTAGGAAGCCTTATCTCAGCCAACTGCTTCATGTTACATGAAGGCAGCGCCAGCAGAACCGGATGCATCACAGGCAGCTTTCTGCTGCAGTTGGCGGGTGTTCGGTCAGACCAGCATACCCACAGTCAGTACCTGTTTATCACTTTAGTTTAATATGAAAAATAAGCTTTAAACTACCTCAAAGGACGTTTATCCCTTTAGTCGTGTATAAAAAAAAACAATTGAATGACTTTTTGGTGTCTTTTGAAGCATATGGTGATCTGACCTTAAATTTTTTTTTTTGTACTTGACTAAAGGGACGCACGCCAGTTAAGGTTGTTAACCCTTTAAAGCCCAATCCAGGAATAAAACAAAACAGAAAATATTTTTTTTTGTTTGAAGTCCTTATTTGGCCTTTTAACAAAATATGTAAAAAGAAAAAGCAGAAATACATTTTTGATATTGATAATTTATTACTATGCGATAAATCAAGGTTATTTTTTGTGTAGTCTTCTACTGGCTGTTATCAGGTATATCTGATTGTGTACAATAGGATTTTGAGCAAAGTTTTTACCATTAAATTATGCAAAAGGTGTCAGACGCAAAACATTTCAGAAACCGTATGTATCAAATACAATACATTTGGCATTATAGGGTTAAACGTTTATTTTTCATACAAAACTAAAGGGATTAACACAAATCTGACATCTTGTGCATGCGTATTGACTGTGGGTACGCTGATCTGACAGAACAGCAGGTTCAGGACCTGAAACAGACCCAGAAGACCCCATGAAGGTACAGGGGTTCTGCTGGTTTTTGTGTCCATGGATCGTTTTGGCCCAATGAGCTTTGAATTGATCCGCCTTTAGGGATTTCAATTTAGCTGAGTATCTTTAGCATGTCTGAATTTATTGTCAGTTAGTTTTACCAGTGGAGGAATATTTGAATGTGGGTAAAAGTATCGGCCAAACTTTGTGGTACCAAACTAAGATTAACTGATGTAGATTACAGCCTAGATTATTACAATCTATCCTAACAATAAGCCATACATCACCAGAGAGTTAAACGATTGCATTTAGGAAACATGATAGGATGGGGTTGAAATCCGTTCAATCTCATGTTAATCTCAAATCAGTTCGAGATTAATCAGTCATAAAAGGAGGCAAGAAGGAAACACAGGATGTCATAGAACAGAATGTTGCTTCTATGGTGAAGGGTCTCATACAACATATGGAAAGGTTGCCTGGTTCTGCTGGAGGTTTCTTCCTGTTCAAAGGGAGTTTTTCCTCTCCACTGTCGCTACAAGCATGCTTAGTGTGAGGGATTGCTGAAGAGTCAATGAGTCGATGCAATCAGCTGGTTTTCCTTAGATAGAAAACTTTGAATCAATCTGACTGGATGATCTGGTGAACTGGAAAGTGACCTGAGATGACATGATGTGAATTGGAGCTATAGAAATAAACTGAATAGAACTGAATAGAAAGAGCCTCATGAAAAATGAGGAGCTGAATAAAGCAAATAAACGTAATGATTGTTTTTTCTCAGGTTTGATACACAGAATTATTCCTTGGAATGCAATAATGTTCCCTGTTAAAGGTTAGTTATTGATCCCCTCAGTATCCGGTCACTTTCCAGTCATAAGAAGAAATCTGCATCTTTTCTCCTAAAGGGCTTTGCTGCAGAGCTGACTCGAGCATGGTGCTTCAGAGGTCAGCAGATTCCCATCTGGTTCCTGCCCTCTGGAAAGAAATCTACCATTATTCCGATATTGGGGAGTGTTCGCCTAGGTCAGAGGTCACGGGTTAGCGGACCAGGGTCCGGATCCGGACCCACCTGCTGGCTAATCCGGACCCAAACTGATTTAAAACATTTATAAATAACCACATGTTTTCTGACGGCAGTGTCTAACTTCACTTGCTCCTCTTCTCCTGTTAATACGGTAAAGCCCTGGGGAGCGTCCGGCTCCAGGCTGCACGTGATCCAAATGAGCCAATGAGCTGTCAGTCTGGGTTGCTGCTGCTGCTACTTTTAGACACAGCAGGCAAACCTGTGGCAAGCCGGGCGATGGGAAAGAAGGAGAAGACCATGAGAAAAAGAGAGCAGCTGGAAGAACTGCGGTGAACTGGTGAAAGAAAAGTGAAATGGCGTGCTCAAAGATGACCCTGCACATTTAGAGGATGTTTGGCTCAACCTGCTGCTGTGAAGCAGGATTCTCCACCATGAACAGAATCAACAATAAATCTGGATCCAGGCTCAAAATGAGCTCCTTGATATGTGCTTGAGAATGGCTTAGTCTCCGGTTAAACCCAGGTTTAAAGCCTTGCAGGGCAGCCTAAAGCCCACTGCCAACATTATGACAGAAAAAAGAAAGAAAATAACAAACCATCAGTTCAGGGGTTTGAGAAAATATGGGAATCAGGAAATTGTCTTTATACCAAACTGAACGATTGTTGTTCTCTACTTCAAAAAACACTTTAGATTTTATATATATATATATATATATATATATATATATATATATATATATATATATATATATATATTGTTTATTTAAATTCTCTTTAAAGCTACATATTATAATTAAAAAATGTCTTTACTGGTTGATGATTTTCTTTCTTCGGACCCCAATGATTTGTAATTGGTGACCCCTGACCTATTGGTTAGAGCAGCGCTCTGTGATCTGAGAAGCTAACCGGTTCGATCCCAGCAGGCTGCCACTCTGGGTCCCTGAGCAAGACCCTTAACCCCACACTGCTCCCCGGGTGCCACACAATGGCAGCCCACTGCTCCCCAAGGGGAGGGGTTAAATGCAGAGAGGGAATTTGACCATTTTGGGATAAATAAAGGGATTCCCATTCCGAAGAAACCCTGTCATATAGAAAACGATTATAGACTGCTGCCTCTAACAATTTCAATACTGAAATCTGAAGTCGAACCCAAACTGGATCTAGTGCAGTTTGCTTCTAGGCGGGGGGGGGGAGCATTCAGACCAAGCTGTTGGTAGCATCAGGCAGCCGGCTGTTCAGCAGCTGGAGGCTCCTATAAACGCCTTCAGTTCATTGATCTTAGTTCTGCTTTTGACTCATTACAGCCTCATTTGCTGTTACAGCAAATGACTCAGATAAATGTTGATCTTTTTATTATTCAGTGGTTTTATTCTTTTTTAACAAATAGAACTCAAACTGTCAGGATTAATGACTGTCTGAACATTCTCCAGTGCAGAGGAGGAGGCGGCTACATGGACCGCCTACATGGGGAAGATGTTCTCAGCCGCCAGCAGCTACCTCCCCGGCCCGGTGTCCGGCATGATGAGCCAGGACCGGGCGTTCGCCACCGTCCACCTCGTCTCATCCGGTCAGAGGAACGTCTGCACCCTGGTCACGTGAGCTCCTCTCTCTTCCTTCCAACCCAGAGCAGAAAGCTTAGACTCTGTGGTGTTAAAGGAACTGCAGCAGTTTAAGGGGAGGAAACCCAAAGCCTACAACAGATTGGAGCAGTGAACGTCTCCCAGACCAAGGTTCCTCCTTCCACTGCCGTGTTTCAGCGTCTGGTGGAGACAGAATAAAAACATCCTCTATTTCACTTTAAGCTCCAACCAGGGATCGGATCCTAGCTCTGTTTATAAAACATCTAAAAGATACAGCATCTAGCAGCTAGCGTTGCTGTGGTTGGTAGCTAGCATCTGTCTCTGTGCGTAGAAACACTCTGAGATCTCAGGTTTTAAATGACCAAACTTCTAAGGAACGGCGAGCTCTTTGTGGCAGAGCCGACATGAAGATTACGTTTGGCCTTAAATCCAGCATGGAGGTCATCAGGTGATGCTTCCTGCAGAAGGTGACCTTGGAACATTGAGGCGCTGCTTGATCGTGGGATTTAAGATGCATTGTGGTTCCAGTAGATGAAGAAATGTTGATGTTTCAGGATCCAGAAGCTGCTGCGGCTGCTGGTGGCCACAGCTGACGGCCAACTGTTCATCTACAACGTGAATCCGCAGGAAGGAGGCGAGTGTCAGCTGGCCTACCAGCACAGGTGAGGCTGACCCTACACCTGAATGGAGGCCACGCCCACATGCTAGACTGCTTCCTTTAGCGTCCCTCTTTGTTTCCCGCTTTAGGCTCCTTGGTGTTGAGGAGAGAGGAACGGAGTCAGAGGGAGGGCGGCCCACGCAGGAAATGCTCTCCTCTCCGTCTTACGCTCAAACCGCTGCCTTACCCTCCCCCGCCTGTGCTCCTGCCACCCTCACAGGTGAGGAGGAACCAGCAGGTTCTGTTCAGTCTAGCAGAACCTGGGCTCTTTAGAAATGAAATGTTGTGCTCCTTTGAACAGGTTTTGGAAACAGCCTTAAAAATCGCCCCATCCTTGGAAGTCCTTGAATGTTTCCCTGAGGTTTAGAACCTTAAGGCGGCCTTCTCTTTTGTTTATCCCTGGATTCCTGTTTGCTGTATGTTGCTAAAGTCTCCACTAGCTTCTGATGGTCGAACCGGTGAACCTCCATCACTCTGAATAAAGCCTCTTTCCCGCTGAAATTAACGCGTTATTTTTCAAACATGGTCGACCCAACCAACAATCAGCCTTCGGCTCCCTTCCCACTGGCATATAAAGCTGGTCTGACCCTCGCTGCGTGTGACACCATCACCCTGGGTTAATGTTGATGATGTCACCAGTATGACAGAAATGAGGAAAGTAAACAATGGAGAGCAGCATGGAACCGACTGGCGCGGCGTGTTGACGTCCGTACGTTGCGTTCAATGGCATCACGTAATTTAGCTAGTCACATTAGCTCTGGCGTTCCCCCAGCATGCCGATCAGAGCCCAGGTGATTTTAACGCAGGTCGCATGCCGAGTCGTTTGACCCGGGTAGACACGCGTCAGTGAGCTGTTCCCACTGCCACGAAAAGACCATTGCTCCCAGTTTAAACTGTTTTTTTGGCCAATGGGAAAGGGGTAGGAGAAACGCTCCAGATGGCTTTGCTGAATCCAGACGTCATTATAGGACAGAAAATCACGAGGATGAATGCGATCACATTAGGACTGCAGCCTTCAGGAAGAGATTTACAAAAACCAAAGTTCTCCAGATGTAGCTACAATCTGATCTGGAGGTGAGAACATCAGCCTGAGTCACAGAGAGGACATAAAGGATTGATGTTCAACTGTGAGGTGGGCCTGTTAGCAAAGGATTGTGGGAAATGGCTCATAACAACAATTAGGGATCGTCACTGCCAGCTCTGATCATGGAGACATCTGATGGACTCCAGCTCTGATCATGGAGATATCTGATGGACTCCAGCTCTGATCATGGAGATATCTGATGGACTCCAGCTCTGATCATGGAGACATCTGATGGACTCCAGCTCTGAATTAAGAGTCTTTACAGATTTGGACTGAGACCAAAACGAAAACTAAAACCATCTGAGAATCTGAAAACTGAACAGATGTTCTTCATGCAGTCATGGTGGAGCTGGAGCCGTTTTACAGAGAGGATGGTTCTACAGTGGAACATTACACCACCAGGTTCTTCTCTCCGAGGGGCCTGAGGACATGAGGTCTATTGCCGTCTGATGGTTTGAATCTGGTTCTCAGGTTTTGATGAACACCTGCAGGGCTCAGGGAGCTCCGCTCCACGTCCAACCCTCCGTTCTGTGAGCCCACTGGCCGTCAGAAGCCTTCATCAACATCCGGAGGGGCAGAAAGCTCTGGCCTAATGTTGCTCTGTTTGCTCCAACCTCCAGGTTACTCTGAAGATGGTGGGGCCAGAAAGGGAGAGGTGATCCCTGAGCATGAGTTTGCTGCAGGGCCTGTGTGTCTGGATGACGAGAACGAGTTCCCTCCAGTGAGCCGAAGATCCTGATACCAGCTGGATACCAGTAAGTAACATCAGAGATGTGTGCAATCTGGTTTCCTGGGCAGAGCGTGGAAGTCGTAGAGAGGACTTCCTGCTTCTGCAGCATCCAAGGAGCATTCAGGTCTGAGGGTAGCTTTCATTCTAGGAACAAAGAAATATTTAGCGCATGACCCGACATTGGACACAACCTTAGAAAAAAACAAACAGGATTAAATTAAACACCCGATCAGTCATCGTCCTTCTAGGTTCCTCTGAACATGTTTAAGTCACAAGACCATGCAGATGACGTAGGAACCACTGCAGGAACCCCTGTAGGAAACATTGAAGGAACCACTGCAGGAACAACTGAAGGAACCGCTGTAGGAACCACTGCAGGAACAACTGCAGGAACCATTGAAGGAACAACTGCAGGAACCACTGCAGGAACCACTGTAGGAAACATTGAAGGAACCACTGCAGGAACAACTGCAGGAACCATTGAAGGAACCACTGCAGGAACAACTGAAGGAACCACTGTAGGAACCACTGCAGGAACAACTGCAGGAACCATTGAAGGAACAACTGCAGGAACCACTGCAGGAACCACTGTAGGAAACATTGAAGGAACCACTGCAGGAACAACTGAAGGAACCACTGTAGGAACCACTGCAGGAACAACTGCAGGAACCATTGAAGGAACAACTGCAGGAACCACTGCAGGAACCACTGTAGGAAACATTGAAGGAATCACTGCAGGAACAACTGCAGGAACCATTGAAGGAACAACTGCAGGAACCACTGCAGGAACCACTGTAGGAAACATTGATGGAACCACTGCAGGAACAACTGAAGGAACCACTGTAGGAACCACTGCAGGAACCACTGCAGGAACAACTGCAGGAACCACTGTAGGAACCACTGCAGGAACAACTGCAGGAACCATTGAAGGAACAACTGCAGGAACCACTGCAGGAACCACTGTAGGAAACATTGAAGGAACCACTGCAGGAACAACTGCAGGAACCATTGAAGGAACAACTGCAGGAACCACTGCAGGAACCACTGTAGGAAACATTGATGGAACCACTGCAGGAACAACTGAAGGAACCACTGTAGGAACCACTGCAGGAACAACTGCAGGAACCATTGAAGGAACAACTGCAGGAACCACTGCAGGAACCCCTGTAGGAAACATTGAAGGAACCACTGCAGGAACAACTGAAGGAACCACTGTAGGAACCACTGCAGGAACAACTGCAGGAACCATTGAAGGAACAACTGCAGGAACCACTGCAGGAACCACTGTAGGAAACATTGAAGGAACCACTGCAGGAACAACTGCAGGAACCACTGTAGGAACCACTGCAGGAACAACTGCAGGAACCATTGAAGGAACAACTGCAGGAACCACTGCAGGAACCACTGTAGGAAACATTGAAGGAACCACTGCAGGAACAACTGCAGGAACCATTGAAGGAACAACTGCAGGAACCACTGCAGGAACCACTGTAGGAAACATTGAAGGAACCACTGCAGGAACAACTGAAGGAACCACTGTAGGAACCACTGCAGGAACAACTGCAGGAACCATTGAAGGAACAACTGCAGGAACCACTGCAGGAACCACTGTAGGAAACATTGAAGGAACCACTGCAGGAACAACTGCAGGAACCATTGAAGGAACAACTGCAGGAACCACTGCAGGAACCACTGTAGGAAACATTGATGGAACCACTGCAGGAACAACTGAAGGAACCACTGTAGGAACCACTGCAGGAACAACTGCAGGAACCATTGAAGGAACAACTGCAGGAACCACTGCAGGAACCACTGTAGGAAACATTGAAGGAACCACTGCAGGAACAACTGAAGGAACCACTGTAGGAACCACTGCAGGAACAACTGCAGGAACCATTGAAGGAACAACTGCAGGAACCACTGCAGGAACCACTGTAGGAAACATTGAAGGAACCACTGCAGGAACAACTGAAGGAACCACTGTAGGAAACATTGAAGGAACAACTGCAGGAACCATTGAAGGAACAACTGCAGGAACCATTGAAGGAACAACTGCAGGAACCACTGCAGGAACCACTGTAGGAAACATTGAAGGAACCACTGCAGGAACAACTGAAGGAACCACTGTAGGAACCACTGCAGGAACAACTGCAGGAACCATTGAAGGAACAACTGCAGGAACCACTGCAGGAACCACTGTAGGAAACATTGAAGGAACCACTGCAGGAACAACTGAAGGAACCACTGTAGGAAACATTGAAGGAACAACTGCAGGAACCATTGAAGGAACAACTGCAGGAACCATTGAAGGAACAACTGCAGGAACCACTGCAGGAACCACTGTAGGAAACATTGAAGGAACCACTGCAGGAACAACTGAAGGAACCACTGCAGGAACCACTGCAGGAACAACTGCAGGAACCATTGAAGGAACAACTGCAGGAACCACTGCAGGAACCACTGTAGGAAACATTGAAGGAACCACTGCAGGAACAACTGCAGGAACCATTGAAGGAACAACTGCAGGAACCACTGCAGGAACCACTGTAGGAAACATTGAAGGAACCACTGCAGGAACAACTGCAGGAACCATTGAAGGAACCACTGCAGGAACAACTGAAGGAACCACTGTAGGAACCACTGCAGGAACAACTGCAGGAACCATTGAAGGAACAACTGCAGGAACCACTGCAGGAACCACTGTAGGAAACATTGAAGGAACCACTGCAGGAACAACTGAAGGAACCACTGTAGGAACCACTGCAGGAACAACTGCAGGAACCATTAAAGGAACAACTGCAGGAACCACTGCAGGAACCACTGTAGGAAACATTGAAGGAACCACTGCAGGAACAACTGCAGGAACCATTGAAGGAACAACTGCAGGAACCACTGCAGGAACCACTGTAGGAAACATTGATGGAACCACTGCAGGAACAACTGAAGGAACCACTGTAGGAACCACTGCAGGAACCACTGCAGGAACAACTGCAGGAACCACTGTAGGAACCACTGCAGGAACAACTGCAGGAACCATTGAAGGAACAACTGCAGGAACCACTGCAGGAACCACTGTAGGAAACATTGAAGGAACCACTGCAGGAACAACTGCAGGAACCATTGAAGGAACAACTGCAGGAACCACTGCAGGAACCACTGTAGGAAACATTGATGGAACCACTGCAGGAACAACTGAAGGAACCACTGTAGGAACCACTGCAGGAACAACTGCAGGAACCATTGAAGGAACAACTGCAGGAACCACTGCAGGAACCCCTGTAGGAAACATTGAAGGAACCACTGCAGGAACAACTGAAGGAACCACTGTAGGAACCACTGCAGGAACAACTGCAGGAACCATTGAAGGAACAACTGCAGGAACCACTGCAGGAACCACTGTAGGAAACATTGAAGGAACCACTGCAGGAACAACTGCAGGAACCACTGTAGGAACCACTGCAGGAACAACTGCAGGAACCATTGAAGGAACAACTGCAGGAACCACTGCAGGAACCACTGTAGGAAACATTGAAGGAACCACTGCAGGAACAACTGCAGGAACCATTGAAGGAACAACTGCAGGAACCACTGCAGGAACCACTGTAGGAAACATTGAAGGAACCACTGCAGGAACAACTGAAGGAACCACTGTAGGAACCACTGCAGGAACAACTGCAGGAACCATTGAAGGAACAACTGCAGGAACCACTGCAGGAACCACTGTAGGAAACATTGAAGGAACCACTGCAGGAACAACTGCAGGAACCATTGAAGGAACAACTGCAGGAACCACTGCAGGAACCACTGTAGGAAACATTGAAGGAACCACTGCAGGAACAACTGAAGGAACCACTGTAGGAACCACTGCAGGAACAACTGCAGGAACCCATTGAAGGAACAACTGCAGGAACCACCTGCAGGAACCACTGTAGGAAACATTGAAGGAACCACTGACAGGAACAACTGAAGGAACCACTGTAGGAACCACTGCAAGGAACAACTGCAGGAAACCATTGAAGGAACAACTGCAGGAACCACTGCAGGAACCACTGTAGGAAACATTGAAGGAACCACTGCAGGAACAACTGAAGGAACCACTGTAGGAAACATTGAAGGAACAACTGCAGGAACCATTGAAGGAACAACTGCAGGAACCATATGAAGGAACCACTGACAGGAACCATCTGCAGGAACACTGCTAGAAACATTGAAGGAACCACTGCAGGAACAACTGAAGGAACCACTGCAGGAACCACTTGCAGGATACAACTGCAGGAACCATTGAAGGAACCACTGCAGGAACCACTGCAGGAACCACTGTAGGAAACCATTGAAGGAACCACTGCAGGAACCAACTGAAGGAACCACTGTAGGAACACTGCAGGAACCAACTGCAGGAAACCATCTGAAGGAACAACTGAGGAACCACTGCAGGAACCACTGTAGGAAACATTGAAGGAACCACTGCAGGAACAACTGCAGGAACCATTGAAGGAACAACTGCAGGAACCACTGCAGGAATCACTGTAGGAAACATTGAAGGAACCACTGCAGGAACAACTGAAGGAACCACTACATGAACCACTGCAGGAACAACTGCAGGAACCATTGAAGGAACAACTGCAGGAACCACTGCAGGAACCACTGTAGGAAACATTGAAGGAACCACTGCAGGAACAACTGAAGGAACCACTGTAGGAACCACTGCAGGAACAACTGCAGGAACCATTGAAGGAACAACTGCAGGAACCACTGCAGGAACCACTGTAGGAAACATTGAAGGAACCACTGCAGGAACAACTGAAGGAACCACTGTAGGAACCACTGCAGGAACAACTGCAGGAACCATTGAAGGAACAACTGCAGGAACCACTGCAGGAACCACTGTAGGAAACATTGAAGGAACAACTGCAGGAACCATTGAAGGAACAACTGCAGGAACCACTGCAGGAACCACTGTAGGAAACATTGAAGGAACCACTGCAGGAACAACTGAAGGAACCACTGTAGGAACCACTGCAGGAACAACTGCAGGAACCATTGAA